TTCATAAGTTTTATTATCCTTAAAAATGAAAGAAGACAAACCACAGGACTTCCGCTCTGTTTATTAAAACGTCCACTAGGGTTTCTCCTATAAGTAGACTCGTGCCTGCTTACAAGAAGTGCCTTACTATAACTAGATACTAAGGACAGAGGGCTCCTTCACCACATGTTTCTTAAGCACCTAATTCAAGCCAAGCATTGTCCTAGGACTGGTATGCACCGACGAATAAGGCTTGTGTTCTGGATCTAGGGAAGTGTAGAAAATAAACAAGTTAACAAATAAGCAAGACAGATACATATTAAGAAAAGTATTATAAGGAAAAATTTTTTAAATATTGTGATAAAGAATTACAATATAGGGGGGCAGGACACTGGACGAGATCAGGAAACAATAAGGAGATAGTTCATTTTGGTCATGAGTGGCAGTCTTTTCATTTTTTTTTAACCCTTGCGGGATAATGTGTTCATCAATTATGTCATTTTCCTGAAGAATTACTCATTAAACCTGAGCAGCTATAAGTGAGCTAAATGTTCATTAAAACTTGCATCTTTCTTCACCTACAACTGCTGTCTAAGCAGGACAATGAAGCGGCAGAAAGGCTGAAAACAACAGGGAGTCGATGATTAACGTAGACACACACGCAAGTTGGATTTCCACCTGTTATCTCACACGCTTTGAAGCAGCAACCCCATCTCTGCAACCCAATTGCCAACGCAGACTATATAATGAACCATCTGTACTGTAACAGTTAGAGCCAATTGAGATGGGTTGACAACACCAATGAAATCTCATCTTTTTTCATTCTTTTATCCCCTTGTGCGTTGTTAGACTTAGTAAGATTTTTAATTGCATGATAAATTGAAAACGTTGGCAGGAACTAACTTTTGTAAAACGTGAGCTTTTTAACATGACTTTGATGGTCTTTCTAGGTGGATTTCTTTGCTGCTGCCCTGCAACAGAAGGAAAAGTTGACCTATGAACCAAACCACTGGGAAGCAAAGCCTGCAGCTATGTGGTGTTAACAGAAGAGACAAAAATCTTCCGCCAGTCTCTTATGATTTGATTGAACCATTCAATTATGCCTTTCCGAGGATAAGCGGAAATGCAGATTGCACTGTGGTCTTTGGGCCAGTCAGATTAATGGAATAACTAAAAAAGATGGCCATTTTTAATGGAAGATGGGCATGATTTTCCCCTCTTTTTTCCTGCTGAAATGTTAAAAGCATGCATCAGAGAAACTTTGGCTTCTCAATGAAATACCATCAAACTTTTACAAAAACTGGTCAGCTAATCCATTCTCTCACCAAGTCTGTGCTGTGTCAGCTCAACTGAAGTATCTTCGAATGATTGTTATGAAGATGATGTGTTTGCTAACTACTACTTGTTTCTTCACCAGAGATGCTTTTCCTATCTTGCTGAAGACTGGGAAGGGCAATAGACTTGTGCTTGAAAAGTCCCATATTTCAATTAACTTTTTGAAGGATGGGAAAATTCCTAGCTAGATTATAGTGATTCCTCCATTAACCATCCTCACAGAATAACATTTTTCTGTCACTTAGTTAGATTTTAAAATGTTTTTCAATTACATACAGCAGTTTTCTCCTGGGCCGGACAGCTCAAGGGCAACGTTTCTACTTAACAAAACTTATAACTACAGAGAACAAAAACATACGTATAGCCTCTACTTTGCCTTAAACTTAAAAACTATGGGAACCTAGAAAGCTAACAATGGCTGCCAGTGGCTCCATCTCCTTTTAGGCCCCTTCCTGCCTCTCAATGGTGATCTCTATGCTACTTTAGATCTTAACTGTCCTCATTCATTCTGTCATCACGTCAGACAGTATTTATCAAATATTTATTGTCCCAGGCACCATGTGAAGCACAGGAAATAAACTAGTATTGTACTCGTAGAGCTTATAGTTTGGTGGCAAACTCAAGTGAGCATGGATCTGCCATATAGTGTGAAGTGTTCAGACAGAGAATATTAAAGATGTGGTAGTAACAGACAGCATGGCCCACAACCCCAGAGAGAGAGAGAGAGAGAGAGAGAGAGAGAGAGAGAGAGAGACAGAGAGGTAGGTTGGGGAGAGGTGGGACCAGCAGGGAAGTTGATCAGAATATGTGACAACTAAATTTAACTTGGAAGGCTGAATAGGATTTAGCCACACAAAGATGACAGAAAGGATAAGCAGAATGTGCGTAAAAACTCTGAAGTCACAGTACTGTAGTAGAAATTGTAATACTTAAGAAGAAAAAGAAAGGCATAACATTCACTATATGTCAGATACTTTTTAAACACTGTTCATAGCTCAACTCATCTAACTTTCACAACAGCCTCACGGAGTAGGGTCTGTTACTTTTATCCCCACGTAGAGAAAAGGAAAGAGAGGCCCAGAGGGTATGCAACGTGCCCAGGGTTACAGAGCTAATGCTGGGGAGTTAGATTTTTAAGTGCAGGCAGTCTGGGCCCAGAGCCCTCTGCCCTGCATTGCCACACTGTACTGGCAAGAGATCACGGGCCACTGAGGGGGAACTGAAAATTGTCCACGTGGCGACAGCACAGAGTGCCCACTATTCTTACTGTCTAACGAAAAGAAAGAATCTACTGTTCGTCATTTACCCTTGTTGGCTAATTATGCTTGAATGTGAGAGAATGACAAGTTGTACTGCTGTCCTGTCGATTACGTGGTCTACCTTTCCATCCTAAAGTGCCGAGTGAAAGGCTTCACTGCGGCGCCAGATGTCGATACTGGGGGAAGTTGTGCGTGTGTGGGGACGTGGGTATAAATGAATTTTTTGTACTTTCCGCTCAGTTTCACTGTGAATTTAACACTGCTCTAAAAATAATGTTTATTAATTTTTAAAAAGTAAAATAATCAGAATTCAATCTAAAAAGGAAAAAAAAGGCTTTTTCACCATTAAAGAAATTGAAGTATACTCAAAGACAGGTGGAGAGAAATTATAGAGGCAACTTTAAGCTATTCTTTAAGCCAAATCTGAAGAGAAATTAAAATTAAGACACTGTGATATAGAAGATATTCTAGCCCTAGGTAACCCGCTACACCCCTAGGTAGCAGTTCGAGTATGATCCTAACACCTACAAGAATGTGTGTTCTGTTTCCATATCCCCTTCCACACTTTGCAGCCCACCCTGTTCTTCTAGGACGTGGCAGCCTGCTAGAGCAGGGGGTCACCCTTCTCCTCCACTCCTTGTCTGACCACAGAATGGGTCACTCCTTCATGTGCTCCAATTCTAACCATTCTCTGAGCTCCTACACAGCAGGAGTCCAAGATGCACACTGCATGTCTTCCAGAATGTATGATAATGCTTTAATATTAAATGTTAGTAAGCTAATCTCCTTTTCCTAATACCCTAAACATATTTCTAGGCTTTTACTTCCGGTAGCCACATATATGAGCTGCAGAACTATTACTGATATAAATACGAGAGAGTGTATTAGGATCTTTAGACAAACTAACAGGTTAATAGATTAATAATGAAGGCGAAGGTAGGAACACCTAGGCAATAGTCTTTAAATCCAGAAAGGCAGACCGGTTACTTGATAATGTTTTGATGTAGAACTGAGTCTTAAAAACTAAACATTTAATTGCATGGGCTAGTCCCTGCAAAATATTCCAAGTGACCCCAATGCATCAAAGATAGTAAAAGTGCTCATACCCATCCCTTACGGAGAAAGCCCAGAGTCCTAAAATAATTTAAATAATCACTGCCTTCTCTTAACTCCTCTCGCATTTTTATCCATAGCGCCCACTTAGTTGTATTTACTTCCTGATATTGTTATTGATGTGTGTGTGTGTGTGTGTACGTGCCTTACTTTCATAACTGGATTTTAAGGCTTTACCTTATGTTTCTTTGCACCCAACTTCCATCCCTTCCAACACCTAGATGTCTTACACTTAGTAGGCCCTCACAGATCTTTCTTGATTGATTACATTTACCATGATCAGCATCTTTTTGTCATAGAAGGAAATGTCACTGGTCTGATATTTTATTTATTTATGTTATAATTTATTTTCTAAGTATTTTCTTCTGCAAATTACAACTCTTTGGAAATGACACATGAGTATCAAATATCCTATGTATCAAAGTCATGCTGATTACACCACTATTTAGAAAAGGCATCCTTCTTCCCTTTAAATCTGTGGTCCCCAATCCCCGGGCCACGGACCAGTATTATTAGGAAGCAGGCCACACAGCAGGAGGTGAGCTGCAGGGAAATGAGCAAAGCTTCATCGGTATTGGCAGGTGCTCCCCATTGCTCCCATCACCTCCTAAGCTCCGCCTCCTGTCAGATCAGCAGCAGCATTAGATTCTCACAGGAGTGAGAACCCTACTGTAAACTGCGCATGCCAGGGACCTAGGTTGCACACTCCTTACGAGAACCTGATGCCTGATGATTTGCGGTGGAGCTGAGGCGGTGATGCTAGTGCTGGGGAGCGGCTGCAAATGTGATAAATGTAATGTGCTTGAATCATCCCGAAACCATCCTCCCCTCCCCCGGTCTGTGGAAAAATTGTCTTCCATGAAACCAGTCCCTGGTGCCAAAAAGGTTAGGGACCGCTACTTTAAATAATGCATTTTTCTTTTTCCAAATCTCAGGTATTCCTGCCATATTCCAGACGGTGTGAAAAACAACAATTAAAAGTAACAGTGGCAGTCACAGAAGACTGGCATTCTCCTAGACTGTGACCAGACTCAGGTCTGCTATCTAAGCAAGAGGAGCCTGGCCTCAACTCTTTTTGCTCTGAATTCCCACATGAAGGGTAGCAGGTCTATAAATCCCGTAAGAGTTTACAGTAAGAGTTTTAGCTGTTTGGCAGTAGATGCAGGGAAATGATAGAAGAAACAGATAATCATGTCATTAAATTTTTGTTATCTTGAAACAATCTTGTGAATACAGATCACAAACTCACATGCAATAAATGTTTCAGATATCCCTCCAGAAAATTAATTTTTCCAGAATAGTCCAATCACCCACCTTGAAGTTCTCCACTCCGACTATAGAGCTCCCTTCTCTGTTCTCGCAAATAGGCGCTCATACTGATGGCGTGGGAGGATGATTCGAACCTGCGATGAAACACGAGGCAAACAACAGTGAGCTGTCAACCAAAGAGCTGGTGTCCAGCTATGTATTCCAAAAGTATTCTACTCTGGTCTGGGATGCTCCCTGATGTTCCATGATCAAGAAATTTTGGCTATACCGTGACAGAGCCAGGGACAGCTGCCATAGACCTTGATTTATGAACAACGTTCCTGGCTAATGTTCCTCTACAACAGCATTTGGATCTTTTGCTTACTCTCCATTTACAACTATGATCTGCCCCAGCTTTCCTTTGCCTTCAGACTACCATCATCCTTTGCCAGGATCCCTACATGCAGCAACAAGAGCATCCTATAAAGCTCAAAACCATCAGTGACTGCCAACTGCCACCATAGACATACTGGCTCCTGAGAGCAGAACTCTCGCCTTTCCAACCCCCCCCCCAGTTAGAGGACTAGTACAAAGGACATACTAGAAATGCTGTGGAAGAACCACATCAAAGAAGCAAAGCATCTATGGTCACTCCCTAAACATCCTAAAAATAATATCATTTCTAAATGGCTGCTTGTTTTTTGACCTGCTGCCTAGCACATAAAATAGTTTCAAAAATACCACACTGCAAAATGTTTGTTCACATCTACGCAGGAACCGTTGCAGAGATTAGAAACACGGGGGAAAGATTCATGATAAAGAACAGGTCTCTAAAAGCTAAAGCAATGATGACAATAAAGAAAAACAAAAACAGATCAGTCTTAAGAGAAACACGCAGGTAAAAAAAAAAAAAGACCAGGTAAAATTATGACTATATCAAACTGTAAATTCTGTGATGTGCTCAGAGATTCCATTTCAAACCTGAGACTTTCAAAGTCAGGATAATAGGCTGACAGAAGGAGGAATCCTTCTAAGAAAGACTACCACTAAGGCATAAGCAGCAACATAAGTAAGAGCAACAGTGATAATAGGGTAGGTTTCTGGAACCAAGGAAGGAGCACCATCATTTTCTTAATTATGCCTTCTTTATTCTTTACTTGACAAGGAAGATGAATACCAAGATGAATGTCAGTCTGCCAGGGAAACATTTGGGTTACTTGATCCCCTCTCTGCACCCTGCCAAGAATTGAGAGGGCACTAACAGCCGGGAGGAAAGCAAAGTGTACAGTACTTCAAAAGTGCCACCTGCCAGTCAAGTGCAGAAAAGAAACCACTGACCTCTAAAAGCACGCTGACAGCTATTGATCAGAGTCGGCGAGAGAAAAAAATAAACTCTCGAGTAAAGAATAGAGAGGCGCACATTGCACAGTAAGAGAGAACTTAAACATACTTAATTAACCTTGGCTAGGGGCAATTAAAGAGGGTAATAAAGTCCTTCACAAAAGCGATAAAAACAGAATATAGTTCTCCAAAATCTTAATCCTTCATGACTTGATGTATTTTTGCTACTCAGGAATTCTTTTTATGTTTGCAACAAGTCACAGATTGATATAATTTTACAATAAAAGAGGCACTAGAGAATATTCAGTCTCACCTCCTTATTTTATAGCCCAGGGCACTGATGCCTGTCAAGACAGGAGGCCTGCCCAGGCACACGTGGCTCATTAATGACAGAACCAAGACTGGAAACAGACAAATCTGTAATAACTGCCTCATTGTGTGTCGATGATGAGTTTTTACTACTGCCCAACAATAATTAATGTATAACAATGATTTAAGGTAATTTGTTCATTTCCAACAACTCATTTTTTTTTCAATACCATGACTTCAGAGGCACTGGCTAAATGTTCGAAAATGTATATGTGGTCTGAGGTTGAAAGTGGGGGTGATGGTTGCAAACATGAAATCTAAAAACACAGAAGCCTGCTTCCTGCAATAAATCCAGATTTAGAGTGGTAAGTTGAGCTAGGAAGGGAAAGTGGGGAGGAGCAAAGGGGAGGGAAAGGAAGGGGAGGGAAGGAAAAAAAAAAAAAAAGGCCTGGTTAGGCAGCATCTGAGGTGGTCCCGGTTGCTTCTATCAGCCACTTTGTCTTTCCACTACCTTCCTGCTTGCTGGCATAGCCCCGCTTCCATCTGGGCATTCTGCTTCCTTGCTCCCTCCCTGAGCATATTCAGCCATGTACTCAGGAAAAGTGGCTCCCTCTTCAGCTGGAAGCCTAGCAGCAGAGATGAACCTGCCTGCTTTAATACAACCACTATGGTCTGCTTCCCCAGGCCAGTGACTGGTTTAGGAGTGGGCATCAGACCCAATCCTAGAACCTGCTGGAAACTTGCAGAGGAGCTTTGATACTTGCAGGAAAGATCAATAAATGAATAATTAATGACTAATTATTAATTTCAAAAAGATTTTAAATGGTACAGCCACTTTGAATAATGGTTTGACAGCATTGTACAAAGCTAAACATAATCTTACTATATGATCCAGCAATTTTGCGCCTAGGTATTTACCCAAGTGAGTGCAAAACTTAGTCCACGTAAAAACCCGCACATGAGTTTTTACAGCAGGTTTTATTCATAACTGCTAGAGATTGGAAGCAACCAAGATATCCTTCAACAAGTGAATAGATAAACACGCTGTGGCACATCCACTAAAAGGAATGCTATTCAGCAATACAAAGAAATAACCACCAAACCACGCGAAGACACAGAAGAACCTCAGATGCACATTGCTGCATGAAAGCAGCCAGTCTGAAAGACTACATACTGTGTGACTCCAACTATATGACATTCTGGAAAAGACAAAACTATGTAGACAATGAAAAGATCAGTGGCTGTCAGGGTTGGGGAGGGTGGCGGTTGAATAGGTGGAGCACAAATGTTTAAGGCAGTGAAACTATTTTGTGTGCAGTGTAACAGTGGATACTTGAACTGTACAACACAGAGTAAACTCTGCATGTAAACTAGGGACTGACTTTAGTTAAGTATTGGTTCATCCATTATAACAAATACACTACACTAATGCAAGGGGAAGCGGGGAGTGAGGGGAGCGTAGAAGGGAACTCTGTATACTTCCTGTTCCATTTCTCCGTACACCTAAAAACTGCTCTAAAAAATTAAGTCTAAATATTAAAAAAAGAGAGAGATTGATTCGCAGGAAGAATCACATGCTATTTCCATGGCATTACCATCTTTATTGGACTGGAACTAATGGAAACATATCATACCCACAACAGAAAACATGACTGATGTGTCGAGGATGATGAGGCAGAGAAATGGAAAGAGCGAGGTCCTTTATGATACTGTACTGCTAAATTAAGGAAACCTCCTCCGCATTAGTCTTTATTGTGTGAGATGATAAATTTCCTACAGTTCAATCTATTCTATTTGGGATTTTATGTTACTTGCAGCCTAAAGCATTTTAACTAATAATGCATCTACCCTCTGAATAAAACAGTTTAAAAAGAAATGCGTTCAGTAAACACAGTGGATTTCTTTACAGGCAAGGACATACTAAATCTCCTCTCCACTGGGCCAAAATATAAATGAACTCTTGAAACTTTCCTTAATTGTTAAAAACACTATGAATCCAAAATAAAACCAAATCTCAAAAGTGAACTAATAAAAGATACTACAACTTTAGCCATTGAAAAGAAAATGAATTCGAAATGCAAGGATGATAATTCTGTAGTCACTCACATGCTTATATTTACAGATACAACTTCTTAAATAACAACTAACCCCTCAAAAGAACACATAAGTCTGGC